TAGGATTGGGGGTAAGGATGTTATCATTTATGTTGTCTATGGCAGTAATGATGGATTGGTTAGAAAGGGTTTATGGCAACAATTGTAGATGGTTGGTTCTTTAGTTGGGGACTCCTATTGGATTATAGGGGGGATTTTAATATCATTGCTAGTATTAATGAGAGATCTAATGATGAGAAAGGTAGACTTCATATTACTCTTCAAATAGAGGATATGTAGAATTTTTGGGGAGATTTAGGGGTTGTAGATCATCCCTTCTTTGGTCCCTTTTATACTTGGTCTAGCAAGCATGAGGTGGGTTTTCTTGCTAGGAAACTTGACTGAGTTCTTTTCAACCCTAGTTGGTGTGACAGATTCCTTGAGTCCTCTGTTGAATTTCAGGCTCTAGGGGTTTATGATCACTGTCTTACTGTGGTGGAGTTTGATAAAAAATAATTTGGCTTCTAGCCCTAAGTCTTTTAAGTATTTCAACTTCTGAGCTCTGTACTCTAAGTTTAAAGTAGTTAGGAGATCTTGGGATGTTCCAGTGAGAGGGCATCCTATGCAAGTGCTTTTCTGTAAACTTAGAATATTAAAGGTTGTGTTAAGGGCTTTTAATAAAGTGCATTATACTGCCCTTTCACGGAAAGTGAGTGAGAAGACAGAGTAATTGAAAAAGTAACAAATTTTGAACTTGTCTAATACTGATGAAAATGGCTTTAATGATGAGAAAAATATGATGGTGGAGCAAACTGATGGTAGAGTTAGCTAATTTGGAGAAGACTAAGGGTATGCTCTACTAACAGAAGGATAAGGTGGCATGGCTTAAAGATGGGGATCAATTGCACCAAGTTTTTTCACTCTCAAGTGGTAGTGAAGAGGAAGAGAAACACTATTAGGAGTTTGCATAGTGAGGAGGGTAATAAGCTGGAAACTTTTGAGATTATTTCTGTTGAGTTGATAAGGTTTTTCAAAGAGAAAATAGGGAAAGTGGATGATAAGGTAAAAGGGTGTGAGGTAGAGATTCTGAGGGGTATACTTAATTGCTCCCTGCTAGTTGAAGCTAGAGTGAATCTGGTTAGAGAGGTTTCTGAGAGGAAATAAAGGTTGCCATATTTAGTCAAGGGAAGGATAAGGCCCCTAGGCCTGATGGATTCACTTCAGGGTTTTTTCAAGCTGCATGGACATTGTGAGATAGGATTTTACTGCTGCAGTGAGGCATTTTTTGCTGAATATGATATTCTTCTTGCTTTCAATGTTATTGCCATCACTCTTGTTCCTAAAATTCCCAACCCTCGTAAGACTAAATATTTTAGGCCTATAGTCTGTTGCTTTGTAGTTTATAAGGCCATAATTAAGATTTTAGTAGCTCAACTTGCTCTTTATTTTTCTGCGTTGGTCTCCCCAAATTAGTCTACCTTTGTGAAGGGGAAAACCTTGTAGATAATACACTCTTAGCTTTTTGTAGGGGGATATGGAAGGAAAACTCTGTCCCCTAAGTGTGCAATCAAGGTTAATCTCTAGAAAGCTTTTGATTCACTCAATTGGGGTTTTATTCTTAATATAATGAGAGGTTTGAGATTGCCTGATAAGTTCATTAAATGGATTGAAGTTTGAGTTACTGGTGCTAGGTTTTCTATATCTTTTAATGACACCTTGGTGGGGTATTTTAGGGGTGGGAAAGGTGTTAGACAAGGGATCTATTATCCCCCAATATCTTTGTTCTTTCTATGAATGCTCTATCTTATTTATTAGATGTTACTGTGCGAAAAGAGATATTTAGTTTACATCCTAAGCGCAAGAAGGTTGGTATCACTCATATGTGTTTTACAGATTACTTACTTATCTTCTGTAAGGGGATTGTGGAGTCTATTTGGGGGTTATGAGTGTGCTAGAACAATTTTATGAGCTTTCAGGGCGTAGGTTGAATGCTACCAAAATTGAGATTTTTGTTTCTGGAATGCCTGATGATACTCTGACCCTTGAGAATGAGGTCACTAGTTTTAAGGTGGGATATCTGCCAATAAGGTATTTAGGGATTCCTCTTGTTCCCAAAAAATTGTCTAAAAAGGATTATGTCTACTTGGCAGAGAGGATTAGGGCCAAGCTTGGGTTGTGGTCTAGTCGTTTACTCAGTTATGTAAGAAGACTTCAATCGGTTAAGAATGTTCTCTTGATGAGAGTTTACTATTACATATTTTTATTATTATTTACCTCTCATTTACCACTTTGATACTATTGATTTATATTTATTTTGAGTTTATTTTGGATAGGAACTTCATTGGATTAATTAGCCTAAAAACTAGTAGATTTCAACAGTCAATTTAGCTTCTTATAGAAGACAAGCATAACTTCCTTTAATATTTAATTTGGAATTTACATGGGACAAGGTTATCCAGAAGATGAAGAAGAATTCAACTATAAGACTTAAATATTTATCTTTTGTGATAAACCTTTTTAATTTAGGATTTTTTGTTTGATTATTTTATTATTGTTTTATTAAAAATTTAGTTATTTTATTAGAACTCTTATTAGGATTTTTAGTTTGATTCTTTTAGGAATGAGTTATTTTATTTGCTTAGAACTCTCGGGTTATAAATACCCCTTAGGTTCAACAGTTGAAAATGAGATTGAAATTTATTTTCCTTGGTTATTTATTGAAGTTCTACTTTTCTTTCATCTCCAGTTTTCTTTCTTTATTTTCTTTCATCATTTTCTTTTCATAATGATAAGCATGATCCAATCCATGCTTGGCTAAACTTCTACTTAGCCAAAGTTTTTTGCGAAACTCAATTCAATTCGTGAGAATTGAATCTTGATCTTCATACCTTCAGATCGTATTCTTGATTTTCTGGAAATTGGGAGTGGCAACCGGTCATTCTTTTAAAAGTTATTACATCTTCAACTCAAAAGATGCACGTTGAATTGATTCCTATTATGCTTGAAGTTTGGAAGTCGGATCGGTTGGTCATAATTCAGCTTCCCGTGAACAAACTTAGCGGTGGTCTATTAAGGGGAATCAAGATCGAGTTCGATTCTCGCTAAGATTCTATAACTCAAGTAGGGCTTTTTAAGAATTTAAAGTTATTTTGGATCTAACGGTGATAGACGTGGCTAGACCAACAAAGATCAGATTTTGGAGATAGACTTGGAAATTTCGATTAACCAGAGAGAAGAGTTAGCTGCAAGGGTTGGGTTTTTGTTGACTGTAACTGCATACACCACGAAGAGAAAATTTTATTTCGATGATCGATCGAAATTAAGGCTAAGCAAAACCTGAGGCTATATCATCTTTATTGAATTCTTCTACTTTATTTATTTCCTCATTATTTTTTTTATTTTATTCATTTATTTTCATTAATTTTAAATCTCTCTTTTTTATTTTCTTATAGTTGATTCAATCCGAGAAACAACATTATCAAATTTCCTTAGTCCCTGTGGATCGACCCTACTTCTCTATATTACTTTATTTATTTATTCATTTATTTATTTGAGAATTAGGAATTATTTTTATTTGGCAAATTCGACACTTGTCATCTCTTCAGCATTGCTAATTTTTTGTGCAAACAATTGGTCTTGCCCTTTACAAGTGATAAAGAGTGTGGAGCAGCTATGTGCTAGGTTCTTTTGGAAAGGTGAGATACCCTTGCTAAGGGGATAGGAATAAATGGGAGAGAATTTGTTATCCTAAGGCTGAAGAAGGTCTGGAAGTGAAAGATTTAACATCTTGGAATAGAGCTTTTGTGATGAAGCTTGCCAAGTCCTTCCTTGTTACTGAAGGATCTCTATGGGTTGTCTGGGTGAAGATGTATATATTTAAAGGCTTTGATTTCTCGTAGGTGGAATGTAGGCCTAACTTTAGCTGGGGGTTAAGGAAAATTCTTCAGTTGAGGGAGGAAGTTAGGCAAATTTTTGGCAAAGCTGATGGAGGTAAGATTTTTACTCGATGGATTTGGAATGAGATGATGGAGAAACTTGAGATGGTTAGTTGGTAGAAGATATTGTGGTTTTCGATGAATGTGCCCAAGCACTTTGTCATTGCTTCAATGGTTGTGATTAATAGGCTTCCTACTGCTGATCGGCTTAATAAAATGTGAATTGCTATGGAGAGGGGCTATAGGATTTGCATGAGTGGTTGTCAAGACACTCGGGATCACATCTTTTTTTAATGTTATTTTTCGAGAGAAATGTGGAATGTTGTGCTTGGATTGTGTAGGGGTGCATAGAGAGGTGGGAAGTTGGGAGGACGAACTTAGATGGGCGACTGCTCATCTAAAGGGTAAGTCTCTATTAATTTACATTTTGAAAATAACTTCGTGTCCTTATATCTACTGAATTTGGGAAGAAAGGAATTGTAGGCAGTTTAGAAGAAATAACAAAACTGTTGATAACGTTGTTGATAAAATCAAGGATGTTGTTAAAATTAAAGTGTATAGAAAAAGCATGGGGCATGATGATATTAATCAGAGCTTGTGTATAGCTTGGGGATTTTCTTCCTCTTAGCCTGAGGAATTTTTTGTAATATGTTCTTTGTAGCAACATGTTGGGCTGCTTCGTAGATAAATAAAAGAAAGAATTTATCCAAAAATATATATCAATAAATAAACACAAATGATGAAAAAGATTTGTATATGTAAATTAATTATTTTTTGTTTGATTTTGGTTATTAATTATTTTATTTAAATATTATATAAAAGTATAAAAAATAAAAATATCATATTTAATAATATTTCAAACATTTAGTTGATATCAAGTTTATCACATCAAATTGGATGACTTATTTAATAATATTATTAATTAATATCAATAAAGTCAAAGGAATCCGAGTATGCAACAAAATAAGACACAATGCCAAGTTTTGTCTACTAAATTATAAGAAAAATAATGAACGTTTTTAATTATTGGGTTGATTTAAATCGACGAACGTAAGAAATGAAAAAGGAAATGAAGCTTTTGGTCATGTTGCTTAAAAAGCCATTGAGAAACTAGAGCTTGAATTTTATTCATATTTAACATCTCTTCCATCTTTAAGTCTTGAAGCTCCAACTTTGCCTTTGAAAGTCGAGGAAAATGACGACTACTGTTCTAAAGCAGTTGTTGAAGAGTTTTTGCACCAATTCACCTTGGACATACGCTATGCTTTGGAAGCTCAGGCACTCGAGCCCCATGTAAGTTTCATCTCTTGTACCTTACCGGTAAACATGAATAGACGTAGTATTTTATATCGGGAGGTACAAACTTGAGAAGTTATACGTACTTAAAATATATAAGGATTTGAAATTTACTATGTTGATTTTCAGGGGGTTGACCTGGGAGGATGAGTACTGTGTTTATCCAATACCAACAGAGATTCTCCCATCACAGTTTGAAACGAGCATCGATGACTGTTATTTTTTAGGGTTCCCAATTGGCCTAGTGGTGCCAAATATATTGAATCTTAAGTATGCATGGGGAGAGGGGTAAAATCTTCTGATACAATAAGGTTTTTTAGATGCTTAAATAGCCACCTGTAACGTTGGATCTCTCCATTTTTCAGGGTTGTTGGTATAGTGGTGTCGTAATCGATTTTCGTTCGGGCACGAATTTTTTTACTTGGTGGGAAAAGTGATGTGAATAAATGGTTTTTAAAATAATTTGGGAGTCGCCATCGGCCTTTTGGGTCAGGTAGGTCGAATACCTAAAAATTATCTTTTAAAAGAGTTTTTAAGAAAACATCAGTTAAAAGATGAACTGATCTGCGTTTATAACCAAAAATTCTTTATTTTTAATAATAAAAAGGGATTCGTGGTCGGTTACGTTTAGGGAAGGATTAGCACCCCTACAACGCCCAAAATTGGTACTTTTTAATTATACATTGTCTCTATTATTAGAAATTTAAGAATTCAAATATATTTAATTCATAATTATGTTATTTCAAATAATTTTAAGAAAATATATTAATATGTATAAATAAGATATTTATTTATTTAGAAATATCAGAAAAGAGCTTCTAGGTGCTTTAAGACAGCTCTTTTCTTCAATATTAAAAAATAAATAAATACCTAAATCATTTTCTTAATAAAATAAAATTAAACATATATAGTTCATAAATAGGATTTTTATTTTATAGAAAACAAAGAAAATAAATAAAAATATTATTATTATATTTATATGACTAAGATAATAAAAAAAAATAATTAAAGTAATCATTTAAACATATTGGATTTGAAATGATAATAATACAAATTAAATTGTAATTAAATAGGGACTAAAACATATTAAAATAAATAAAAATATTAAAAATTAAAATTTACAGCCCTTATTTATACTATTATAAAAATATAATTACTAATGATGTAATTAACCCTAAATATTAATAGGTGATTAAAATAATGATCATTAAAATTAAAGGTTCTAAATCGAATGATAAAAGATCTAAGTACTAATATAATTTAGCCTTATTTAATTAATTCAGGTTAAAATGATATTTACTAAACTGTAAAGGACTAAATTAGGTATTTACCCTAAATAAATATATATGCAGATAAGGACTAAAATAAAATAAAATAAAATATAAAGACTAAATTTTAAATAATTAGAAGTTGATTGTAGTGACTAATTTGTAAATAATACAAACTCGAAGTGACCGCGGACGAGGTTTTCCCGTGAAGGAAATTACGCACATACCCTCGTCAAAACGGTGTCGTTTTGATGAGGGTATATAAACCCTATAATCGGCCCCTAAGGGCCAAAGCTTCTCATTTGCCTCTTTCCTTTCTCTCTCTAAAATGAGAGAACCAGAGTTCTCTCTGGCTTATCTCTAGTTTCCCTCGCCGGAGGGAAACCGGCAGCCATAGGCCACCGTACTCCGGTGCCGATCACCGCCGCCGGCCACCGTGAACGGTGGTCGAAATTTACAAAATACCCCCAAAGCGTAGATCTAAACGTCCTAAGGTCCGATCTAAGGTTATTTTAACCTAAAACCCCATAATATATCGTAAATCTACGATTTTCACCTTCGGCGTTTTGATTTTCCGGCGACGTTTAGGGCTCTCCGATGATAGAGTAAGTTCCTCTCTTCTCTTCTCTTTTATTTTTTTTACTGGTTTGTTGTTGTTGATTGGGATCGTTGGTAGCTTTCTGTTTTCCTCGGTTTCTTCCTCTCTATTTGGTTTCTGGTCTCCGTTGCTTGCTGTTCGGGCTTTCTCCTTTTTTTTGCTCTCTGTCTCTTTTTTTTGTTTTGCAGGATCTGGTTGCTTTTATAGCCACCACCGAGCCATGCTCGGACCGGACTAGAGGGGGAAGTTCGGTGAGTCACCGAGCTATGTGGTGACTCACCCCATAGCCGTGATATGTGGGGAGCAGCTGGCCTTCTGGAGACTTCTGGCGAGGGCAGCGGCAGCTGGAACGTCTGGAAGCAACGGCGGCTGCCACGTGGTTGTTCTGGAATCTTGGAGGCGGCTAGGGATCATTGGAAGTAACGGCTGGGAGCTAGGGTTTGAAAACCCTAGTTGAAACCCCAAATGTTTAGAGTTTCTAGTTGGTCTGGGCCGGTTCTGTTTTGTTTGTAACTGGGCCGGTCCAGTTTTGTTAGTAACTGTTTGTAAATAATAATTATAATATAATAATAATATTTAATAATAATAATAATAATTTTAATAATAATAATAATAATAAAAAATGGAAAAAAAATTAGTGTTTACAGCTGCCCCTCTTTGCTTATTCTTGTGTTAACAAGAATAGAGCAAAGACGGAAAAACAATAATTTTTTTCATTTTTCTTCTTTTGAGTAAGACTGAAATGTTGAAAACATCATTCCAGAGGTCTTAAAAACATCATGCACTGCAGGACTTACAGATGACCCTAAGGTTTTGAAAACATCAAAAAGCTCCCGAAGGCTTTTTGGAAACATCATGCACTGTAGGACTTACAGATGACCCGAAGGTTTGAAAACATCAAAAAGCTCCCGAAGGCTTTTTGGAAACATCCTGCACTACAGGGCTTACGGATGACCCGAAGGCTTTGAAAACATCATGCACTGAAGGTCTTACAGATGACCCGAAGGCTTTGAAAACATCAAAAAGCTCCCGAAGGCTTTTTGAAAACAGCATGCACTGAAGGGCTTACAGATGACCCTAAGGCTTTGAAAACATCAAAAAGCTCCTGAAGGCTTTTTGGAAACATCATGCACTGTAGGACTTACAGATGACCCTAAGGCTTTGAAAACATCAAAAAGCTCCCGAAGGCTTTTTGGAAACATCATGCACTGTAGGACTTACAGATGACCCGAAGGTTTGAAAACATCAAAAAACTCCCGAAGGCTTTTTGGAAACATCATGCACTGTAGGACTTACAGATGACCCTAAGGCTTTGAAAACATCAAAAAGCTCCCGAAGGCTTTTTGGAAACATCATGCACTGTAGGACTTACAGATGACCCTAAGGCTTTGAAAGCATCAAAAAGCTCCTGAAGGCTTTTTGGAAACATCATGCACTGTAGGACTTACAGATGTGGGAAATAGTTTACTAAGTAAAAAACTAAGGAAATCGTTTTCTTACTTTTCAACAATTTCATTTTTAGAAAAGATTGAATGAGAAACTATGGAAATCGTTTTCTCATTATTTTTCAAAATAACATGTTGATTGGGTAAAATGCCCCAATCTCAAGATAATTCTCATTTTTGTGGATTGCATCCATCTTTTCTTCAGATGTTTGCATGATTCCTGTATTTGCGGTTTTGAATACCTTCTTCTTATAAGGTATTTCTTACCATGAATTTTCTTGTTCTTTCGAAGATCTGTAAAACTTCATGTTTGAATGCACTCACTCAATTGTATCAATGTAATGCATTGTCTATTGTGTAAATGATATTCTTATGAATGCATGAATGTTGATGCAATCTTCATTTGATTTCAAAGTGGTGAACTTGGTCTTCCTTCACTTCGTCATTTATTGCCAGGGTTATCTCTGGATATCAGTGTAGAAACTTATGCTATCAAGCTTTCATTTCTGCAGAATCATCTGATCAACTTGTATCTTGGCGTCTTCTTTGTTTCATGAAAGTCTCAGAAGAAATGTTTAATTTGTGGAACTCTTGCTGTAGTCAAAATTATGACCCTGATGCCCCATTTTGTCTTGGATAAAACCAACTTTATTTGCTTGGACTTGTGTGTAAATCCCATAAAGCTTTCATCTTTGAAAATAGAATCTATCATCTTTAAAAAGAGAATCTATCATCTTTGAAGAGTGTAGATGTAGATATGCCTGACTCAGCAGGGATTAATTAGGAGAGTAGAGTCTGCTCTAATTTAACTCTTGAAACATCACAAGGAAGATTTATTCCAATTCCTTTCATGTCTCCACATATAATCAAATCTTGAATAAGGCAACTTGGACCAATATCATGTCAAGATGCTTAACAACAACCTGTAGTTCAACCTTAGTTGACCCCATTAGTTTCTTGTTTAAAATTTCAACTTTCCTTGAAAAGAAATCTTCATTATATCTCACTTCTAATCTTGGGGTTGAAGAAGACAAACTTCATCTTGGATCAATAAATGGAAACCATATGATTGCAACATTGGTTCAGCACCATAATCACTGGTTCGTAAAACATTTGACAATACATTCATCTTTTCCTATGGTTTCTACTCGGATTATTGGTCAATGAAGCATTTGACAACACATTTATCCTTTTCTGTGGCTTCTGCTCGGATTATTGGTCAAGGAAGCATTTGACACATTCATCCTTTTCTGTGACTTCTGCCAAGATTTCTCAATCATTGAAGCTCTTTGCCTAGTGTTCAAAGCTTTTGTATGATGTCACAAGACCATTTGAGAACAAAACTCAATGGGGATACAAGTGATATGTTGGTATGACCAAAAAGTTGGTCAAATTCACAAAATGTGCTGGTGTTGAATTGAAAAGGAAATACCAACTGATCTTGATATCATCTCTGGCAAAGGCAAATGTAATACTGATTATGTTTTCTTCTATAACTGAGTGTTATAGAAAGTAGAAACACTTCAGCTATAGGATCCATGTACAGAACTATATCCGTAGAATTCTTGTTGATGGTGATGAAACGTACATGATAAAACCCCAAAATAGATAAAAATTCAGTTCAACCTGGCTTGAAAATGATAACCCTAGTAACAACGGGAATGGGTAATATGTGTAAGTCGAGCTTCTCTCTTCAATGTCATCAAGTAAACAAAAACTGATGTGAAAAACAGCTTCATAACCTCAATAGTATGGTTGAAACTAACTGCCAGGAACCTCAAAGAAATATTTTCAATTATCACTGATACAGAGAATGCAAAATTCAAAGCTGAGATCTTGAGGAACTGAACCCTGGATCGAGTAGTCTCTTGGGGATCATTTTTATTCATGCAACTGTGATGTAGCTTAACAAAGGCCGCACTATCATGTGACACATGGTTAAGAAGATTGGGTATTTGAAAACATACTTGCTGAGTAAAAATTTTTGTTCAACAATATGATCATAATGTAACTGCCTGATGAACGAAGCAATTATGTATAGTCAGCTCGACTATCACTGTTTCACCATTTTCATTCTTC